TTTTCACTAAGCAACTCAAATCAAAATGAAGTTATTTTATGCTTGATTTACAGTTCGCACTGTCACCTTTCCAACGATATATAATATGTATATATTTCTTTCACGAGCGCCACTCTCAAACGATTCGAACGGCATCCAGCGGAATCGGGCACGAACTTATGCACTCATCAATATAAAGAGAGTTTTTATCAGAGTTATACAAAATTGGTAAAAAAAAATTATTATTGAAGTGTTCAGAAGAAGTAAAAATGTGAATTGGAAAAATGCATTCAAACAAAATTTATATATGTACATATTTCAAAAAACATTTAAGCACAAAGGAGAATTTTTGTGAAACACCAAATATGAATAGAAATCCATTGGATATTTTAAAACTAAATACCCGGTGCATCGTAGACCGTAGATAAGTCAATCTTGAAGGAACCCACGAGTGTACCGGAACGCAAAAATTTCCGTGCTTGTATAACCTAAAAAAATATTTGTTTAAATTTCCCCTTCACATACTTTAAATTTTAAATTAAAAGTATTCAAGCTGCTATTCCTTATTTTTAGAAATACACATACAAAAAACGAGGCATTATTTTATAATTTATAAAAATTAAGTACGGATGATTTAAGGGGTTGGCCATTGTAAACGCCAAAAAAACGCCTGTTTTCAAGAATTTTTTCATGTGGAAGGAAAAGGAATACAATTATAATGTTTTGATATCTTATGAGTTTCAAATTTAAATCGAAAAAATAATAATAATAATTTACAACAAAAAATATTTTGAAAAGTCTATGGATATTTTTGTAATGTGAATTTTTCTAGGAGCTCCGCGGCACGCAGCACACTTGCGTCCTGCAACAAAATAAATTTAATTTTTTCTGTCTACATGAAAATAGCTAGAGAATGACGTAAGGATTTTGAAAAATTTTAATTTTTTTTTTTGAAAAAACGGTAACTTATTGTTTTTAAAAATTGTTTAGATAAGGTCATCGAAAATCCCTCACTTTATTCTCTTTGAAATAATATTAGAAAGGTGTAAGAAAAAAGTCAATTGAAAATATTGAAAATTGTTTGAGTTATGCTGCGTGCCAACTTCAAAAAAACGCCATTCTATAAAAATGAATTTAAAGATATGAGACATACAAAATAGGAATATTTTGGCGCGGCCCAGTGCACTCGGTAAAAGTGCTCGTAATTTCAATGAAATTGATGTCGGACAAGTATTAGACTATTTCTTCCTCATAGTAGAAGGTTTAAAGAATAGTTTTAGTCAATTAAAAAAAATTTTTTTTTTTTGAATTATCTACAGTGGCCTTAACCCTTAAGATGTGTATTGTTTAACTATACGTTTACATACGTTTGGTACTGTCAATTTAAGAAATAAGGGAAATCTGGCATTAAACTATTGACAGGCTCACAAAAAGTTTACACGAAATTCGTTTATTGTTCCTTTATTTCCTTAAGCTGGGATCCCACTATCGCACATGCTGTGCCGATTTCCATCAGCGTCACGTACTCGTACACGTATGTCAAAGAGTTGCACAATTTATTTTTAGGCTTTCTTCATTATCGTCGCATATTGTCACAGTCTTTTACAACATACAGGGTCCGCCATCTAACATTTTTTTTTTGAACTAGTGGTTATTTTGAGGGTGGTAACACTGATGCTACATCTGATTTGACAGAAAGTTAGTTTTATCCTTCCGCTGAACGAAAATGGTTGTGTATACGATTGAGGAACGCGTTAAAATAGTGCAGTTTTACTGCCGTAACAAAGCACCGTCCGCTCCGTATGTGCGCTTTCTTTTGAAAAAATTTAGAGAAACCGGCACAATTATTGATAAACCAACGCGTAAGAAACCAAAAAAGTGCGTACTGCCGGTAATATCGCTGCTGTGGCCGAGAGTGTGCGTGAGGCGCCCGGAACATCAGTGAAGCGTCGCTCTCAACAATTGGACATTTCCGAGACGTCCCTTAGGCGAATTTTGAAAAAAGACCTTGGTATGACACCGTACAAAGTTCAATTGGTTCAAGAATTGAAGCAACGAGACCATCCGATGCGGTTCGCCTTTGCCGAATGGGCATTTGTTTTATTGCATTTAAAAAAAAAAAAAGTTACGTGGCGGACCCTGTATAACGGTCGAAACGAAATTGTAACTATAATCGGTGAACACTCGATCAGCCTATGGTATTCGATTGTTCGTACAGTCATATGTTTGGGAATTATCTGTAAAAAATTGAGCTTGGTTTTTTAAATATTTGATCAGGCTAAAAAAATTGTGGTGGTATTTTGCATTGAGGTATCGACGATGGAAGCAAATAAGGCACCATTTTAGGCAAACACGAAATTTTCTCTTAAAATATTATGTTCGAGGAAAGTTTCAATGATTTCGTTAAACTAATCAGGCCGTACATCCAAAAGCTAGATACCATTTTTCAGCGATTAGCTTGTACTCTTCGATTCTTCTGGAATTCATAATGATATTTTTGAAGTTTTCAAAAGCGATTATTTAAAGGTAATAATATTCAAATTTTAACTCTATAAATTACAAGATTTTGGAATCTTTTTTCAACGCATGACAGTACAAGAGGAATGAACCGTAGTTGCAACGAACTATAACATTTTATGAATCATTCCCCACTCAATCAGAGGAGTTGAAGGAAAGCTTTTTTGAATGAAAGCTCAATCTAAATCGGACTTTTTTAACTATAAATAGTTCTACGGCGTTGTATGTAATTATGGCTACTTGCTGATGATGAATGCGTTCACTTATATATTGAACACATTTCAGATGGTGGCAATCGCATTAACTGCTCTCTGCAACGCGCTTTGGAGAACGACTCTTTGAATTTGCCTATTCCGCGTAATTGTATAATCAGCGTACAGTTCATATACGTACGTTTGGGTGGCAGACGAAACCTTTAGAACACAAACTTATTTGCAAACACCATATCCGTGATGTAGTTTTACAGCAGGTCAACGTATTTTCATATTATAATATTTCATATTTATAGACTCTGGAGAGCAAGACGAATGATGAAAAATGTGTTTACTAATATGACAAACCGATTTTGTCTTCGCTCGTTCATTAAAGCTTAATGCAAAAAAAAACTTTGAATTTTATTTGACAACTGATGCACTTCATAATTTTTTTAAAAGGAAAAATACAAAAAATTCTGCCTCATAGGTCGATGGCTATGGTGAGCATGGTAGGTCAAAATGTATCCCTATCAGAACTAGCAGAGCGAGAAAGAGAAGAAAATCTAAGCTCGTTTATAAAAAATGAAGCAAACACCACCTGTTATGAGTACGAAACCTAATTTTTATCACTACCTTGAGAAGCGTCCTGGCAGTGTCAACTATGTACATGAATAAAAAAGGAAATTAAGTTAAAGGAATAAATACTTAAAACTGTTCGTACATAAATTTATATTAAAAAATCTTGAGATAATACACAAAATAAATAAAAAAAATTAAATTTCACTGATTTGGTTATTTCATCGCTGATTGTCCTACTGGGTTTCCTAATAAGAGGTGTTATTTTTATATTCAATGAAAAATAGCTTTTTCCGAGACAAAAGGTCTAATGTTTTTTGCCAGCTGAAGAGGATAAGGCATTGTGTATTGTAGAAGTTCACGCAAGTGAGGAAAGTTTTTGGCTGCATTCACCTAAGAATGGTCTGAAACGATTCCTTTGCATATGGTTCAAGCAGCTGACGACTTCCGAACTTATAACAAAATCCTGGGCAGCCAACAAACATCCGTTTGTAAGTGAGCTAATTAGGTGAAGGTGAATTCCAGCCGATTGTGCGTAGGGCTTGGGACCCACCACATGAAAAAACATAATTCAATGAGAAATCAAACGCTTCCTTGGATACGAGAACCTCTAATCGTCTGTCTTGGAACCAGTATTAACATCAACAAGAATACCAGCTTGGAAATCCAACGCAGAATCACTCTTGCCAACAAATGCTACTTTGGACTGAGTAGGCAATTAAGAAGTAAGTTCCTCTCTCGACGAACAAAAACGAAACTACGATTCGTTTATCGTTCCCGTTCTGCTATATGAGTTTGCGTTAGGAGTTTTCGAGAGAAAGATTTTGCGACAGATAAATTATTGAATAATTATTTCAATATCAAGAAGATGATATACCGTTAATTATGAAAAACAAAGGCAGCCAAATGCTGGCCACGTTTAGACTTTCAGGACCAAATCGCAAAGTGGCTGCTATGTGCCTTCAATAGCTTCATGACTTCCACCTTTGTAGTTTTTTAATGGCGGAGACTTTATCTTTGCGATCACCCCTCTGAGATAACAGACGGTCCAGAAACTTTTTTCTTAAAAGATCGATGGTTTCGTTGCTTATGTGGCACGTAGCGCCATCTTGTTGGACGCGTAAATTTTGTTAATCATCTCCGTAACTGTTGTTTAGGTTTTCCGAGTCCTAGATGCGACAGTTTTGTTTATTGACGTTGCCACCGAGTTGGTAACGGGTCGCATAAGTCGAGATGATTTTTCGATGAAATTCCGAATCATTTTCATGCATGTCCTTGTAATGCAACCAGCAAAGACACGACGTTGTTGATGGTCGGCCAGCTTAAGTTGTTGTGTAAAATGAACATTATAAGCAAATCTTTATGCGAAATGAAGTGAATAACCAATCCCTAAGCGAGGAATGGACAAACCTGGATATTCGTCAACATTTTGCGCTACAGCAGCAACATTCCCAGTTGCATTTGAGCGACGTGTACGTGCTTTATTCTTCACATCACTAACTTGTTCAAACATTTCCATTTTTTCGCCAATTTCGGTATTGCTGTACGAGCAGGTGCTTCACGGCGACCGAAAAATTGTTAATTTTTTTATTTTCACGTACCGTTTTTATCAGGTTTTTACCATTTTTATGGTGAATTTTAATTATTTCAATGCGTTGAGGAAGGGTGTTTCGTTCCGTTTTCATTACTGGCGGCGTAGTTTTTTACTTGTCAAGTGTCAAAAAAATTACAACTTCAAAAGTGACATCTACCTGAGTAGCAGGCTATTCAAAATAACACCTCTTATTGGAAAACCCTTTATATTTTAGGCGCAAAAAAGGCTGAAAATTTGATGGTTTATGATTCGGCGTACGAACGTTCACACTATTGAATTTTAATTGCTGTTAAATATCACGATTTCAGCACAGATTGTTGTCAGTTGTAAAAATAGTTGGTGCACGAAATACGTCGCACCTTTAATGGGATCCCAGTTTAAGAGTTGTCATACAGAGAAAAAGAAAAAGGATAAGCGTCTTTTTTTAATTTTTTTTTTGAGCGTCTTTAACTACACTTAAACATTTGCAACAGCTTCGCTTTTATTTCATTTTTATTTAAATAGAATAATGTTTACCATATTACAAGAAGAAATGTGAACACAATAACACTCGCTTACAGATTGTTGTAATAACAAATCAAAACTTTTCCAATTATATGCAGTTATCCTGCATTTTGCTATGGTGGCTAATAAATAAATGCGTAGAATATATACATACATATGTACATACATACTCGTACATACAAACACAATTAATGTGGCGAAAGTTTTTGTTTTCTCTATGGACTTAATTCACTTTGCTGATTGTTTATGGTAGGCATCGAAAGTTAATCAGCGCTAATTATCGATAATAAATGGCAATTAATTTAATTATTTTAAACTGTCAACTTTTAATAGGGATATCACTTTAAATGTTGTAGTAAATACAGGAGTTATTAAGAGTTTTTCTTAGCGAGTTAATCTGTGAGTTAATAGCAAATATGAAAATAATAAATATTTTGTATTTTATTTAAGTTTGGTGGCGAAAAATAGAAATTAATTTGAATTATCCCATCAAAAAAATTCCATAACAAGCCATTGAGTTGAGACGAACATTTTCAGCCAGCTAATGAGGCTTCATTATCACTTTAGCCTACCACATACCTATAGACCTATAGACGGGCAGCTTTAATTGATTTACGCCGGCAATTAATCTAATTTATAATGCGTTCTTGTGCACATATGCACAAACAGATGTATGCGTGTGCATACATACGTATATACAAGTATATCTCTGACGAGGCGACAAAACATTAACGAGGCAATTAGCACATTCAGTACTTACCGACAAAGTTATAATTTTATCAAAAAGCATCACCGGCGGCATGTGAAAGTCAAAAACAAAATACTACATATAAATTAGAGCAAATAAAAGAGAGCGAGAGAACGAGGGAGAGATGGAATATAAAAAGAGTAAATATGGTATTCTTGTTAAATAAATCCAGCACTCCTTTGGCCTTACCTCATTGTAGTAAGGACAATTGGTGCTCTCCTTAACGCTTGTATATTTCTTTTGATCGCCCACTTGAATGCATACCACTGGATCCATATTGAGACCTGGTAGTTGGCGTGCTTCAATGACTGTGATGCAAACCTGAAAGTCCTGCGACTTTAAGTGGTCTGAAGCGCGCGTCATTGATTTTATCCTGAGTTAGTTTGATTAGATAAATAGATGCGTTAAACAAATATTTACATACATTACATATGTATGTATGTGCGAATAATAATTGCAATAAGACAACTCATTTGCATAAAAACTTTACTTACATTTTGCCCTTGTCATAGTGTTGTTGTTGTTGTTGCTCCTCCATATCGCTTGACTGATTCGATTGGCCACTGTCAGCACCCGCTACGTTAAGCAGCATACCCCCTCCGCATCTGCCATCGACGATTTGCCTGCGTGTGTGCGGCGCATCGTCTGTTTCAGCCTCGGTAGCCGAAGTGGCTGTGGTCAGTGCGGCGTCAGGCTCAAAAATCAACGGCGATCTGTAGTTGTGTGCAAATGAGAATAAAAATCAATTGAATCATTCACTGTGTTTGTTTTCTACTTTCAAAATCATAACAAATTATGAATATATTTACACTTTGTATGTACTGGGGCTACTTTGATTTAGGTTGCAAGCTTATGAGTATGAAGTTATGTGTTCTAATGTAATGGAAGGGGTAAAGATAATTGGAGGAATTGGTGTGCAGAAGTTCACACAAGTGGAGAAAGGTTTTGGCTGCCATACACCAGGGATTGGCCAGTTATAATCCTTATATATATGGTTCAATCAGCTCACGACCTCCGATCTGAGACTAAGTGTCTCAGGACAGCCAACAAACATCCATCTGGAAGCGACCTAAACTGAAAATTCGAATTTAACTGCGGTTGTGTCTGAGATGATAAATTCCTCTTTTGATGATGACCCCGCAATATTTTTAAGGATCATGATTTGAATGCATGCCTCTGTAGTATTTGGTCCCATAATTTGGAAGGTGCTGCTGATGTCCTCGAATGAATAAAGGATGAAGCCACCGACGCGGCAAACAAACACAAGGAAGGTTAAAAATCGAAATACTGCATTCATTACAAACAGCCAGCCGCATGGTTTGTTATTCAACTTGCCCACCTGTTTTCTGAGAGCACTCATCGGCAACTCGATGTAAGGGAACTGTGGCACGGCATTTCGAATTCCCTACGTACTGTCGCTACGGAAAAAAATGCTTTTCAGCAATAATTACTGGGGCAATAAGGAATGACAAACTATAGTGAAGAGAAAACGGACTGAGGTAGGCAACCTTGCAATGGACCACGATACGTGCTGAAGAAGCAGCTGAAAACACACACAGTGAGGTGATTTAGCGACTGATGCCAAGAGTATACTGAATTTATGGAGGGAGCACTTCTGCCTCCTTCTGAACGACAGTCAAAATAGAACACTCGGAGATGGCACGTGTGAAAAACTACAAATCTTGCAGGACCAATGGATTACCGGCTAAGCTTCTTCACAAAATAATATTGGATGAAAACAAGACGCACGATCGGAACCTGAGCGTGCTCTTCACAATCCACAAAATGGGCAAACGTGGGATAAACCTCCTTAATATCGCACACAAGGTTCTATCGAGCGTATTGTGAGAGAGTCTATAGCCCAGTGTCAACAAACAGATTGTACCTTTTCAGTTTGGCTTTAGACTTAGTAAAATATCCATCGATCATATAGTCACCATGACCTTTAAAACCACGCCGCGAGTTCTGCTTTTTCCACACTGGATAAGGAAGGATATGGGTCTTATAATGAACGAAGGCAAGACGAAATATCTCGTGTTATTAAACAAACTATCAACGCGTTCGCAACTCTGCCTCCACGTCATATTCGACAGTCATAACTCTCATGTCGTACATAACTTCGCCTATCTTGGAACCAGCATTAACAGCAACTACAATATCAGCCTTGAAATACAATTAAGAATAACTTTTTCCAATAGGTTCTGTTTTGGACTGAGTAAGCCAATTCAGAGTGAAAGGTTTCACGTAAGATTTACGGTCCTCTTCGAATTGGGTACCCAGAATAGCGCAGTCATGGAACGATGAGCTGTACGAGGTATACGGCGACATTGACATAGTTTAGCGAGGCAAAGGTCATGTGGCTTGGATGGATATGAGTACTCCAGTATTGAAAGTTGTCGTTGCCTACCGGGAAGGAACGAATTGCATGCTGTAGCTAACTCGGTAATCTCGTATCGGTATTTAAAGTTGCATATAAATATTTAAACGAACGTATTTATGTAATCTCTACTTAAGAGTATTATGATATGAAAAACTGCTCAGTCATATTTTTTTATTTTTTTAATGGACCAATAAATATTTAAACGTTCAAGCAATGAGATGGCAAAAGTGAGCAGGATACACTTAGTAGAAATTGAAAATAACTTTTGAGTTAAGAAAGTTTATACGAATAAAGTAGATGCTCACACAATGGTTTAGACACTTATACTATTATTTTTTTTTTAATTATAGAGAAAGGTTTTTATAGGTATTAAATAAAAAAATTCAGTGAGAGTGAGTGAATGAAGGGATGATTAGTATTGTAGGATAGCACAGCGGTCATTTAAAATATTGTAGGAAAGGAAGCATGAGCACAATATACCAAAGAAAATGGGAGAATAAATTCCTGCTATGATACCCGACGATCCAATGGAAAGACTATCTGGCTTTAAACATTATATGGCTCTTTATATAAGGAAGGGTTAAATATTTTTTGCTATTCTTCTAGCCCCAGCCAGTTTTGGTGGAAACGTAAAATTCAGTAAAACATCTAAAGCTAGTTCGTCAGCAAGGAAGGAACTTAAAGATAAAGAAAACAGTATCAATTGTGTCAACAAATTATGTGTAATTTTCTGTTATAAGCGTATAAATAATATTTAAAACAAATTAAAATATTATATATATAAAAAGTTAAAATATATAGGTGTATATCTGTGCTCTGAGGTGGCGTTTTCAGGTACTTTGGACAGTTATACAAAATTCAAAGTCTAATATTTAAAGTAATGCAAAGGAGTAATTACCATGCTGAAAGAGGAAACGATTCCCAAAGACCAAATTTTCAGCACTTTAGTGCACATTTCGTGTTAATATGTATATTCTTAGTATTCTTAGTATTGTATTTATTATTTCATCAATTAAGTTCGAATTTCCCACTCCCGTAGGACTGAAACAACTCAAAATCAACATAGATGAAACACCGTGTTTAACCGCGTGCATAAAATTTTGTTGGTGAGAGCTCGTATTTGCCTTTGCCTCCCTTCATATTTTATCATCATATTTATTCATCTGATATCTTGAAGATAAATTACGATTTAAAATCTATCTTCTTGTTCTATTAGAGGATATGTACCCTGCTATGGAGATAACATTTGAAATCGGAAGTAACTTTTTGGCTGCTAACTCAACACTGAATCAGAAGATCTATAACATTAACATTTACATGACCAAGTTATATTGGTAATATTTAATTAAGTGTCTTACATTTTAACAGTACCATTATTTCTCTATTTTTGAAAAATGTGCGGCTAAAAACTTTGGGCTTCAAAATAAAACAATAGAATATGTGGTTTACAAAGTAGATATGTTGTTTAAAGAATAAAAGATCAAGAGCTTTTAAGACTTTAAAGAGAAGTGGCGACCACTTACATCGCTTAAAATACTTGTTTCTTCGTCGAAAATTTCTTGAACTTAAAAAAAGTGTTACGATTACATAACTACAGTTAAGAAAAATACTTTACACATTCCTAAGCAGTTCAATGATTTTTTTTAACTCCAAACGTAAGCTTTTTAGCTTTCCGTCCGCCATAAAATACCAAGCTACTATGTCATGTGACAGTCTAAGTCAGTGCTGTACAAACTAGTAGCCACTTGGTGGCATTTAAAAACCAAATTGACGAAAATAATTGCACTTTATTTCTAGTGTTAGACGCAAATCAATATAATGAAGAATTTGAGCTAGGTTAGGATACGAACATTTTCATTCAATATATTGATTTTTGGTTAACAATTTCGATTCACGATTTAAAGTTTTCCAAAAGTTTCAGTTGGTATTGAGATTTCTCAGAAAACCAATTCGATGGTGATCCAAATAATATTCAAAAATTGTCAGATCTTGATAAATTGACAGAAAAAAAATGTCAGCCGTCGCAATAATCTTATATAAACAATCATTGTTTCGGTTAATTTTAACTCATAGAAGTTAGAAAAATTTCATACGTGACATAACCAATCGAAAACAAATGTAAAAACTGAATTTCGGTGTTTTCACTGTTTTTCTTAGGTTTTGGAAAAAGTGGCCATTGAATAGATCTGTTGGCCACTTCTGTTGCCATGCCAAAAAAGTTTGGACAGCACAGGTCTAAGTATTTCCAAAATGTTCTTGATGTGATTTGTCCGTTGCAATAATTAATTCACCAACTATTATACCAAATATCAACTGCAATAATTAATTCACCAACTATTATATTTCTAAGGAAGATGTATTATATCATTTGATGAATCTAAAGCATTCCTTCAGTTATGGTTGAGATGCATATGCCATTATAATTTCTCCTTTAAACGAGGTGTTTCCACAACTTAGAAGTTGTCTTTTATAGTACTCCTACATAAGAGTGGTTACAGGTTTAGTATTGAAAATTATTGTAAAAATATCCTCTATACCAAAGCTTTTTGAGGCAATCATTACTAGCCAGATAACCCTTTCGATCTTCTTACTGCTTTCCAATTCCCAGTACTGATTTTGTAAATGAAAATCAACTCTTACAAATTTATCTGAATTTGTGTCACATATCTCTAAAGCCTTTAGAGATAATAAGCATTCTGACGTTATCTACACCGACTGTTGTAAAGCATTCGATAGGGTTAATTATTCAATTTACATCCCTAAACTAGATTTTCTGAGCTTTCAACTAAAATTTCTCCAATGGGTTTCATCATATCAAATCAGGAGTTCCTCAAGGTTGCCGTCTTCACCCGACTCTGTTTCTCTTAATTATTGTATAAATGATATATCTTCCGTAATATAGGATTCAAATATCTTGTTATATGCCGATGATGTAAAACCTTTTATGTCATATACCTCATTCGACGAAAGACGCGTGTTACAAAACGATCTAGACAATTTAACTATTTGAAAAGTGTAAGATCATGTTCTTTTCACGAATGCTTTTTCAACCTTCTCCTTATATATTTAATAAGTGTAGTCTAGGACAAGTGTAGAACTTCGTTGATATTGGGGTTATGATTCCCCCCTAAGCTCAACTTTTATCTTAAACATTACCATAGTCTTTAAATGCATTTACCTTAGCAAAAAGATGGTCAAAAAAATTAAGGATCCTTATGTAACTAAAACACTGTAATACGAATTTGGTGAGGCCGATATTAGATTATGGTTCACTGATATGGCACCCCTATTATCAAGTTCATCTCGCTTATTTAGATTCTGTTTAAAAACAAT